ACTGTTCAATTTTGCGAGTCGTAGTTATCGAGATTACAATCCTTTTCTTTATAATCGACACGTGAGACGCACGGAAGCGAACCGAAAAGTTTTTGGTCGTTTGTCAACTCCAAACGTATGAAATCCGGGTTGCCTTGTTCCATGTTCCTCGGGAAAGACTCGGCTAATGGCGGAAGAGAAAAAAGCGACTTGTTTGCTCGTCATTTCAAGCAAGTGTTTCACGATTTCTCCGCTTCGCCGACACAAGTGCTGGATGCTGCTGTCGGGATGTCATGTGATGTGTTTATTTTCGATATTCCGCGCATTTCAGAAGACATGGTGATATCCGTTGTGTTGCCAATCTCTGTCTTCCACGTGCGAGGCTATTCTATCTCGGCACAGCAATGTAAGCTCCACTGCCGCTGGAAACATTCTTATCTGTTCCCAGTCTACAAAAAAGGAGATAAACGGAATGTTGCAAATTATTGTGTGTGCCTGCTCAAAACTGTTCGAGATTATCATAAATGATGATCTGTTCGCGTGCTGCAAAAATTATATGGATCCGGAACAACACGGTTTTTACCCGAAGCGCTCCGTGTTCACGAGCCTGGTGTACTTTACTTCTAACTGTTTGCAATGCATGGATTCAGGATGGCAAGTCAATGCTGCGGGTATGGATCTAAAAGCTGCATTTGACACTGTGGACCATAATATCTTGCTTGCCAAGCTGGAGATACTTGGCGTCTCGTCAACGGCTGTGTATTGGTTCAGATCTGACTTGGTGAATCGCTATGTACGGGTTAAGATTGGCGCGTTGGAATCGGGTGTTTTCTCAAACAACTCGGGAGTTCCGCAAGGCAGTAGCCTAGGACCGCTACGGTTATCGATCTGTTTAAACGACGTCGCCTTTTTGATACCATCAGGATGCCGCGTTTTCTATGCAGACGATACGAATCGGACTGCTGGGATTTCCAGAATATATTAGGTATTTTTGCTGACTGGTGCTCAAGAAATTTGATGAGTCTCAGCATCGAAAAATGTAACATTATTTCCTATCACCAAAAAATCGAACCAATCATGTTTGACTTTGTTCTCTACGGACGCTGTCTTGCTCGTGTTTAGCACATAACGGATCTCGGCGTTACCTTGGACTGCAGCCTTACTTTCAGAATCCACTACAATGACATCATCGACATTTGGGCTTTATTTTCAAAATTGTTCGTGACCCGCTATGCCTCAGGTCACTCTACTGCTCGCTTATGCGATCCTTATTGGAGTCAAGTTTAGTTGTTTGACGTAGGATTACGTGCCCGGTATTAATATTCGGCGACTGTCTTAGGGGAACCACTTTTTCCCATCACGGTTTCGCCTCGTTGTCTGATGACAAAATTACGCATTTTCGAGTTATTCTTTAGATTATAAAAAAGCGAAAATTAAAAAAAAAAATCCCATTGTGAAATATTCGTGATCAATCATTTAAAATCGTGATTTTTATGCTTTTTTCTAGCGTCCTGGAAAAAAAACCTTTCCTTAATTCGAAGTGATTCTGATGAATTGACAAGGTCATGTGGGAATATATTAACGTGAAAGCTGATAGAATCCACAAATGGCCGCTATTTCGGTTATTTTGAAATCTCAGAAACCATACGGAGTCGAGTTTCGAACGCCTTTGGATACGGTTGTGTATTAAGTGTGTTCTCTGTTTTGTGCGTGCATTCGCTTTCATAGTTTTCGGCTGCATTTGCCGGATTAGCGCTGGCACTCTGCCTCCTGGACGGTTATACGTGTGTGAGGGGTGGTTTTCTCGCTTTCAGAGTTTTAGAATCGAGAAAGAAAACATGATTCATCATGTTTGCAAGCAACAGAAGATTTAACGCTATCTGCGTTGTTTGATTTTTCTCCCGGTCCAGAAATTTGTGGCATCGCGAGTGATAATTTTAATTATTTAGTTTATTTACGCGGTGATATTTCAACTATTTTTGAAAAAATTAAGTGTTTTCGAACGAAAGTGTACCATAAATAGGGTTACCATATGGTATCCTAAAGGAGGACATGTCCTTCTTTTTCAATATTTTTTCTACATCCTCCTTTTGTCCGAAAATGTCCTCCTTTTAAATAATTGCATTTTTTCCAGTAACATATTCATAAAATTGTTTTCGAAGAGCGTTGTTTGCAGAGCTTATTTCCTGATAGAGCTGGAATTAGGGCGCAACAGCTTGTGTAATCAATGAATTCTCTCCATGATTTCTCGAAACTCAAGGCACGCCCACGCAAACCAACATAACCAACGGGAAGGGCAAGTCAAGCCTATGATGGTGACGTTGATTTGAGTGAGCGAGCCTTGGCTGTCTACACAGAAAAAAAAAATGTAATATCGATCAATGTAATTCAAGCTGATGTATGAAATAATGATGTTATAACAAAAAGCAGATACAATATTACATCAATGGATGTAATTTTGTTCGCAAAATCGATGTACATCGTACAACGTTATATTACACAACCGATGGATTGACCTGGTTGCAGCAGTTTGGATGTAATATTCAACCACTTTTTTTCTGTGTAGAGATCATCGATAGAAGTCATTGTTTACAAAGGCTGTTTCACCCTAATTCAAGCTCTATCAAGATTTGTTTAATTATGTCACAAACTCATCTTATCTAACTAATGCCATTCAATGGTGGAACTAGGAGTATACTGCAGCTGTCAACCTCCCTTTTATTTAGGCTGCGATCCATTTGGTGAATTTTAACTTATATTTGACAGATGGAAAATTTTCAAATAAACCTGCTATTCTATCAGACTTATATCAGACAAACCAGGAATCAATTTTGACAAAAAATTTCTCGAAAATCGGACGATCAACAACAGAGAGATTTTCTAACATTATAATTTATTTTCGAAATGTAAATTTAAGTAAAAACTATGGCAGCGGCCTTGGAGTCCTATGCTGAATCAATGGTAAAATTAACAAATTGCTTAGATGTTCCATGCTGGTTTCGATCAACGATGACATGTATCCTAATGTATGTACATGATAAAAGTTGGGATAGTTTTAAGGTTTTAAGTAGGTAGTTTTCATGCAAATGCTAGTTTGATGCATTTTTCAGAAGTATAACGAGAAGATGAATTGAATTTGTAACGACCGCAAGTTATGACAATATCAATTGAACCTTTGCAAATCATGAATTGTGTAGCACATATTATTAAAACGTTTGATAAAAACTCAATGTTAATCTTTAATGTTAAAAAAAGGAATCATTGTCCTCCTTAATTTCCATACCTCAAATGAAATGTCCTCCTTTTCAAGTTTTTGATATGGTAACCCTAACCATAAGTGCATATGAACGTGTTTCGCAGTTGGGTGTGGTGAAATTCGTACATTCCCGTTTGATTTTGGAAATCCGTATCACAAAATTGCCCACCGATTCCTTTTTTTGCCGTTCGACGACGACGGGTGTGCTTTCGCAAGAGTAACGTTTATTGGATCCGTTTTTTTGCACGGGAGTGTTTTTTTTTTGTAACTAGCGTAAGTGTGCCTGCGATTTGCATCGAGTGACGGAGATTGTGAGTAAGCTGAAGGATGTCTCGCTGGATACGCCCAAGACTGGACGGGTGGTAGCTGGTGGCCGTGAACGGTTCCTGGGGAAAGCACTAGATGCAAACCTCCTTCCAGATCACCATGGCAATACAGGAAGTATCACAACAAAGGTAATTGCTATTAGATATTTTGAAAACAGTGACAGATAGCGGGCATGAAGAACCAGTGGAGGTGCCGGGCAAAGGTGTTTATCCTAGACAAATGGTAAGTTACAAATTCTTTGTTGTCGCTGTCGTAGGCGCCGTCGTAGTCGCTGTCGTAATCGCCGTCGTAGTCGTAGGCAGTACCATTAGTATATTTAAAATTCAACACAACCGCTGAAAATATGAATTATCGCGTATTTCTGTTGTTCATTACATTCCAAGTGAAATTCAAGAACGTAATTTCATTTGAATAGCTTGTTTAACCAGGTCTTAAACAATCGTCACGTCGGTCATAGCTTGTTATGATTGTCTGAACCATGCGTAAAGAGAAAATCGAAACATTGAACGTCGCGTGAAAGTGGATCTTAATGAAGGCCTAAGTACTCTTTCGTAGCTTTTAGTTTTAGGATTTCAAAGATCGTCGGTTGCAGTGGCTTGCTTACTGAGGAGAAAGACGCGGTCCCAGATCCTTTCATATTAAAAATATTAAAATATCGCTTGTTTATCGTGTATTTTGTAAAACTTTTCGTTGTCGTCGGTGCCGGGTTTGAATAGTTATAAAAACATTAGTAACGCTATAATGTGATATGAGAGGCTCGGTGGCCTTAGAGCAACCGTTTTTGCTTACTGAGCAGTACATCATGAGTGTAGTCTCAGGCCCATCCACATTCAAGATTCGTCAATGATTAAAAAGGAGCTCGTCTGCCTAGTGGCAGACGTTTTTGCTTACTGAGCAGAGGACCGTGGGTTCAATCCCAAGCTCCTTCGCGTTATACGATCGTTAGGACATCAATTCAGCTTATCGTTTACCAAAACGAACCCTGCTGCTAACCCAACCCTCTTACCCAACATCCCTGTGATTCCTCGTGGAACCCATTCCTTTCTTGACCTGCGTTCAGGCGCGGCTGGCGCTGGTATTGCCTAATTCGAGATCACCAGTTTTTACACATTGAGGATGATTGCTAGTCCCAAGCATCGTCTATTGGTTCTCTGTGTAATTACAGCTGGTCTGGCAATAACAGAGTAGCAACCGTGGGTGGTCAATCATGCTCATGCTCATGCTCATTTTGAAATCTCAGAAACCATAAAGATTACGGGTGTGAAACTATAATCACTCAAGTTTTTCACAGAGATCCAGCAAAATAAAATACAGAACTAGTCCGCAGTGCCAATCTCGAAAAAAAAACCTAACTGTGATACGGGCATTATCTGTAATTTTTACGAGCAATGTTACTTCCCCCCTCGAACATATAATTCAATTACTCGAGGAACCTTACCTGACTAAAAACGGACGGTGCAGCCACAGTTGGAGCCATTTCAATCTCCGTACTGAAATCGATCAAATCTCCTCCATCGTTATCTGCCTCAACCTGGGTCCCATTCCCATTATTATTGTTACAATCACCTCCCATAGCACCCCGTTGCAGCTCAACCAGAGGAGGACAATCGAAGATATCACTGTGCCACCGTTCGAGAACATCTCCGGTGCTGCCCATGGTCCCACATGTTGCCCAAGCATCCTGCTGCGCTTTGGGGTCCTCCGCTGACAAAGGTTTCCGAAGAGTTCGCTTCACTGCCACACCGACGATAACCGGTGGCTGCTTGCAGTTGCTCGCTGGCAGTGGTGGGATGAAATCGATGGCAGCATTCGGGCTGTTGTTGATGATCCCATTGGAGGTGGTGTATTTGGTGGGCTGCAGCGGGGCGAGCACGTGGGGGTGATGATCCTTGATGAGGTCATCGAAGTTGGTGCTGGATGTGGGGGTGATGCTGCTATTGCTGCTGTTGGCCGTGGGTTGGAGCAGCAGACTTTTAATAGTTTCCATTTCTTTGGATGCTAAGCTGGGACGAGCATCGTTACCTGGTTGAATTGTACATGCATCTGCAATGGAACAAAGGAAAGTGGATTAGTAGGGGTTAAAACAATGACGGGTAGGTGAGCTGAAATGAGGTGAAAGCAAGAGCAATGAATTAATTTCCTGCACTTTTCGTCGTAATCAATTACTAAATTGCTCGTTTTACAAATGTAAACATGCAAATGGAAACTTTTTCTAAACAGTACTAACAGCAACAGCTACAAATACTTCGTCGTTTGTTTTGGAACGTGAAGCATGCGATTGTTGTTTTTGCGCTTGATTGCTCATAATCTCTGTGAATTATCTGCATTTTTGGAATTTTTGCGGGTTTGTTTGTTAATGTGCCCGGGGTTGTGTGAATTGAGTTTGGTTTGACAAACAAAAATGGATTTATAATTGAATAATTGAGGCTTGCATTGTTTATCTTTCCTCTGTTCGCTGACCCTGAGTTAAGCTAAAAAGATTGAATGGTGAGATAAGGTTAATGGCAAAAACGGAAAATTTTACTCGTAGCAGTGAACGTCTATGTTCTATGTTAAGACTGTTCGAGTCGAGTATATCAATTTTAATTTAATCACAAATTTATCACCTTAAGCGAACAGATTTTCCAAACAGCACCAAATTAATCATACAGACTAATATATTCAAATAAATCGCTATAAATTACCACAAGTGCCACCCGTATGTCATCGACCGTAGCTGATAATTTGTGGGTATCGTACATTACCAACCACCCACAGCACCCATAAACGGTGGTGGTGGTGGTGCCCAGAAAGTGGTTACAATAACACTGCAACAGCAAAACGTTGAACGACGCGAAATTATGGGGCATGTGAGAAGAAACGTAACACTCTCTCGTACATAATGATAGCAAACAAATAAACATTCGGAGAAACCCCCTTCATCTGGCAAAAGTGGGTGCAACGTGTGATGTGGTAGATCGCATTTCTCCATCACAGGGCAGCTTGCTGCCTAACATCAACAGGCATCTCGGTAGTAAGGTCTTCTTGCTAGTAGCTCGTGGTTTTATGGTTAAAGAGTGTTCAGTGGTGCCACGATGCTGTCTGTTTTCAGTTTAAACAGTGAACGTTCATATAGTAACAATGTCGTGTGTGAAGCATCCCTTTTTGCCTTTGTTCGGAATGCCAAGAAATATAGGCGTGTGCAGGTTTGCTAGCGAACATAAAAGAATCATTGAACTTGCGTTGACAGATGTATCAGCAATCAATACGAAACTATCGATTTTAAATTGGCTCACTACTTGACTAGCCTATTGGTCCCAAGCAAATCGACAAACGTACCCCATTCTAGTATAAATTCCAGTACTACACTATGTTTTTTTTTATTCGCTATGAAAGTGTATTTTCCTATGTTTCGAGGAGTGAATCGATTAGTTTGGGACCGAAGATAGTACCAGAGCTGAGCCAAAAAGTTTAGCACGTTTCTTCGGGACCTACTAGTCTTAGAGCTACCTCTAACACATCCAAATACGAATTTAAATCCAATAAACTTAGATGAGTGGATGTTTTCCCTCCCCTTGGCTAGTTTTTGCACCTTGCTGTTGGTGGACGGGCTTAATTTCATGCTTTATAGTGGAGTGTTGAAGACGGTAGGTTTATGGTCGGCGTTGCTGGCTCATGCCGCGATAGAATGGCGTCATGGGCAGGCAATGGGGATTACTAAGCTTCCCCTCTCTGATAAACCACTGCATGAGAGAACCAAAGATCTAGTCTAGCAGTGATAGTATCACACTTGTTACTCCTTTAAGTGAGAGCCGCGTCGTAGTACGCTTACGTATAGGCACTGACGTTGGGTGTGGTACTGGCGCAAATCACTCTTATTTTATTTATTTTTACGCAGAAAGATTTATTTGTGTTTGCAAGGGAATTATACTATTGAAATATTTCAGAAAGTGCCCAACAATGCTCCTTCTATTTGCGTGACAAGCTTTCATTGTTGTTTTCATTGAAGTATTACTCAGGAAACAATGTTAAACATGCCCCGACTCGTGCCATTTTTGTACATGGTATTGTAACTAATCTTATATGTGCTTCATTTTGATGTGGGATAAGTGTTTGAACTATGGCTCGGGATTTTCACTGTGGCGTGCTTCTATTGTGACATACTCATACGTATTTTTATGGTGCAACATAGTGGAAGCGTGTGAGCATAGTTGGAGCATATACCCTATATAATTAAAAAATCAGCTAGGAAACTAACTTCAAAATGAAGCATTTTAGTCACATGAAGGTGTTACCTGGGTCGAACTAAGATATAATAAATAGGTATAGGCCAAAATCAAAAGTACTTGAAACACGTTTAATTTTAGATTAAAAGCACAAGTGCAGGTACTAAATAAAGCATGGGTTATGATTGATTAGGTGAATTAGAGCTTTTAATAATTTATTAAATTAGACTAATGAGATATCATAATCATCAAATGAACTTAAATAAGAAACTTCAGAAAGTCTAATGGCATTAAGTAGATTAACAAAAGAATTAGGATGCGGGGGGTCCGCTTAGGGAGGCAACTAACCTTTAAAGTTGTAGAATAAATCTTCTTATTTAGTCTTGAACTTTAAAAAGAAAACGCAGGCAGACCAATAGCATTAAGCAGATTAACAAGGAGATGAATAGTTTAGGAAATAAGTAAAAGTAGAGGTATGTGACAATTAATAGCTTTTAAACTTTTGGAGGTATTGTATTCCCCTGAGTTTGTTGTACTCGATTACTATATTAGTCTCTCAATACGCGAAATCTATTTTATATGCGGTAAAAGCATTTGAGTTAACTTATTTCTTACATTTTGTAACAGTAGGATAGATGGCAAGGCGGAAATAGCAGAAAACAGCGGATATATTCACTAAACCATAGTTATTTTTACAGCAGAATGTTTTCGAACTATGTCCGCAAAATCGGCAAACTCCTCAACGAACTACCCTTTCGAAAACCCTTTCGCTTAAGCGCCAGTACGATAAATCGTACTGCGAGAGGGCGTGTTCAAATACCGTACCCGGCTAGTCCTCTCAGGGCAGGTCAGGTAAGAACTACCAAAAATTACCGGCAAAACCCAAAACGCGAACAAAACCAAAATCTCCTGATATAGGCTAGATTCTTCCACAGATCAACCCAGCGGTCGACAAGAAAATGTGAAGCAAGGACTAAACTTTGACACTCAATTTATTCTGGGGATTTTTGTCCTAAGGCCCTAAACGTGCACGTAATATAAAATTGGCTCGATCTAACCTGGTCTTTTCTGCTGCAGTTACCGTTGCCGACGGTGCTCGCTGTTGACGCCGCGATCGCCGACGTAGATGCACTCGATGAAACACGTGGGCCTAGTTCGACTTGGTCGCCGCCAAGGAACTACTCGGAGCAACCACGTTTCAAACGCTAGTCTGGGAGCGCAGTCGACGGTGCTGTTATCGACGCCGTTCACTATCGTCGTTACACGGCCGGTCGATGATGACGGTGAAACAACTCCACTCGTGGGCCTAGTTCGACTTAGCCACCGCCAAGGAATTACTCGGAGCCACACGAGGCACGCGCAGATCTTGAAGCGTGGGGTGCCTGGTATGCTTTCTTTTCCCACGCTGGTCTGTGGTCTGGGAGCGTAGCGTTCCGGTTACTACACAGTCGATGGTGCGACTATCGCAACTGCTCGATTTCGTCCTCACACAGAAGGTCGATGGTGGACAAGTCCACACGTGGGCCTAGTTCGACTCGGACGCTGCCGAGGAACTACTCGGAGCCGCACGTGGCACGCGCAGATCTGGGAGCGCAGGGTGCTCGGTATGACCGCGAAGATGGTGACTTCTAGAACCCAATAAAAAAACCTTCGCCTGAAGGTTCTTCAGGCGATAACGAAAACTTTTAGGGAAACCTGTCGGTCTAACTATATACTATTGTTACCTTTTTGCCTATAGCCTTTAGGGCTTCACTTAATCGCACTATACTACACTTGTGGCAAATTTCTCAAGCACACACGGTATTTTCTTCTGACTTTAAAAAATCTGCTTAACGATCCGATCGCTCGCACAGGTCTCACAGGAATGAAATGTAGCTCACATCAGGGTAATTATCTTCCACTTCGTGGGTACGAGAATTGAATAGAATTCTTACGTGTTCTGCTCTGATTGGGTAAAAAAACATCATACGATGTTGCGCTTCACAAATTTAAATTGTGAAACAATAATATTTAGCGACAACCATCAAAAAAATAGTGCGATCCGAGGCTAATCTACGGGAGTTCTCAATTTCGGTTGTACCTGTTTATATGTGTTCAGTTTCAACACCGACCGCTCTGCTCGTAGCGGCGCTACCATCACTTATCGGTTACAATTTTTAAACAGCAGTCAATGTTAATCTATGCACTAAACCATACGTAAAATCGATCTTTCCTTATGTGGCATTGATGCATGTTTAACTTTTCGCGGCCGGCGGAATCAACGCGCCTACGTCTACGGAGCTTACGCAGAAGTGATTCGCAATAACCAAAAGTTTTTTGAGCTTCTGAAGTATAGAATTTGTTCGGTACGGTCGCGAAATCTTGAAATGATTGATACGTGCGGTAAAATAACTAAATTGAAACAAATCTCAACAGTAAAATAAGTTGAATATTTAGGGAGGAAACCAAAGTTAATCAACTTGCCAACATAGGCTATCACATTTATTTTAGTGGCACTCTTTAAATGATAAAAAGCCTTTTTTCTCGCTTCGGTTGTCTCGCACGGCTTTCGGAATTCGCGCGGTTTTCGTAACTTACATAATTTAGATATTTCGTTCGAAACGGATTTACTTATTCAATTGGTTTACTACGCGGATGTATCTACGCGCACACGTCACAGCATTTTTTTCTATAACTATTTTGAAACAATACATACGGAATCCAGTGTTCAAGCGGCCAACATAGGCTAGTCCTTTTGCTGTATTGTCAAAGATAGAAGCAAAATTTATTCAAATTGGTCTAACTAAAACTAAGCTGTCACGCAGCTCCAGATACCCAATAAAAAAAATAAATAAACTT